TGGCGAAGATGTTCGGATGTGTTGAAAGTTCTTAAGATCCTACAGTTCCTAAACAAACGAGAAGGACTGGCATGTTCTGAAAATGAAAATTCGCCACCAACATCGCATGAACTGATCTTCTCTCGAGCGGCAAGATTGATGAAAGAAAAGCTATGTCTAACATTTGCCTTAAAGATCACATGAACAACGTCCTGATTTTGCTGTCTCTATTGGATATGCATCCAAAATTAACACCAAACATCACGCTCATCAATGTGATGGATTATTCCTCACGAAGTCGCTGTGTACATGCTTATGCAAACCCCTTGGACATGTTTAAACAGCTGGAAAGCTAGACACGAGCTCCAAATGAGCTGGTGTCGGTGCTGAGGATGTATAAAAGCTACTGCTTCTGCTCTTCTTCCTCAACCATTCGATCCGCTCATTTCTGAAATCAAAATCTTCACGCGTCGCGCCCATGTCTGGTTTCTGCGAGAGCGAGCACCAAAAGCGGATCAAAGAATTTACATGTCTTCTTCTCCTGTTCTTCTTCCACTCTCCTTCTCGGCATACATGACAAAAAGTCGCTAGAAAGAAAGGTATGCTTTCTGGCTCTCTCCGAGGCCACGCAGAAAATGTACGAAAAAACACAGGATGTCCAGCATTCCGCAAGATCTACATCCATGACATTGTTCTCAGGTCTCTCCAGATAGGCCGAAAAAAACACAATGACCGCTCCATGTCCTCCTGGGCTTCCAGTCCGCAGTCCAACTATCGAAATTGAGCAATGTCACATCCATGTTGTTTGACTCCAAAGGTTCTACGGCTGGACGCCATGGGATCTCTCACGAAGAGCTTCGCACATTTATCGCTCACCAAACACTACATTCGGCCTTGATATGAGCGTCTTGCCCTTCTTCCGACTCAAACACGCAGCGGCAAATCTCATGAAAGTCAGCCACAACTACATCCATGATCGCGTTCCAGAGTCAAAGGCTTTGTCATCTTCATCAGCCCTAATATGGATTCAAAAACGATGACATCCTGGTAATGTTTTCGTCAGTGTCATCGTCTTGTTCATGACATATTACCCAAATAGCAGCGACCGCCAAGATGTCTCTAGTCCTGGGGGTATAAGATGCTGCAGAAGCTGCGAGCTTTCTATCTTCTTATAGCATACCCTATTCTATTAAAAAGGACGGGTCCGCAAATACATGTCGTTCCGTCCAAAACGATCGCTTCTACAAAGCCATGTCTGCTTCTGCGATTACCCTTAAACAAACACCTACATGTTTGCGGCCTGTGTTCAAAAGATTAGGACAACGGAACTTATGGTCCTTTCTGGCTGAACCCCCCTCTTTCATGCCAGAAAGCAGTCCAACGCTCGAGTTATGAAAGCAGTGGAAGTTGCGAGCCTGTTCTCCGCTAAAATCCTCCTCTACTTGATCAAAATAGGCATCCTGACCTCGCAAGTCGTTCGGTTCAAGAGCATGAAGTGCAGAAGACATGTATGTTTCGTCCTTCCACCCAAAAAACATGATATCATTTATACATGTGCCCAAAAGTCTATCTCGACAGTGGAATGTCTCCACATGCCTCAACAGTCTAGTGTTATCACAACAATCATACCAAGTGACAGCGTCAGAAACAGGTTATAAACCGCGTTCGAATCTGCTAGCTTCTTCTCTCCTCGAAGCTTACTCTTTTTTGTTGAAAATTACGACTACTATGGCACCATGTCGTCCGATCCAAAAAGCTAGCGCAGGTTATGGCCATGCGTCGGCTCCTACGTTCGACTTCCAAAACAACAGCAGCCTTCATGTACGGGCTGCAGTATCCAAAATCGGCATCTGAAAACACCATGTTCGCTTCGGATACTCTTCCTCCTCTTCTGTACTAAAAGACGGTAGTATACTCGAGATATAAAACGTCGTGCAAGCTGCGAGCTTTCTCCCTTCTCAACCCTTCCTCCCATATACCAAAATGGATTCGTATTAGGCGCATGTCGTTCTGTCCAAAATCTCGCTCTCGCACTTCTATGTCTGTTCCTCCCTTCGACTTCCAAAACAACAACGGATTTTCCTCATGTCGGATATACTCAGGAAATCTAGACCGACACTAAAATGTCTGTTTCTGGTGGTTCTCCCGTCTCCTACACCAGAGATGTGCTTCCCCAGATCAAAACAGACAGATGGCGCCAAATGACTGTCTGTTGGACTGCATCTACTTCATCAAACCTCCAGTCGCCATACCCTATGGTCCTGAGACGATTCAAAATCGTGTCAAGCGATGCTATGAGAGAGATCGGAGAAAGAGAGAAATTGAAAGAGAATCAGAGGATAACCATGTGGGAAAAACGAAGTTCCTGGAAACATCGAAAGCGTTCCCGCAACATCACATGAGAGAGCAGTGGTCACGCTGTTTGAATCCGATCAAGAAATGCGACATGCTCTCGGCGCGGAGCAAGGACGTGTATAAATACCACTCTCGGGTCTGCCTTTCTCTTCTCTACAACATTCCCACTTCTGGAGTCTAAAGAAAAGGAAAAAATCTTCACATGAGTTTGTCTGTCTTTCTGGGACGTTCTCCAAAACACTTCTTCAAGCCGCTAATGGAGTGCGCTGCGGGCGCTGTTGAAACTGCAGGACTAGAAGTCCATGTTGCTGACACTGGGCTGAGAACGTGTATTAATACCACTCTTGGGTCTGCCTTTCTCTTCTCTCTACCACACCTCCAGTCTTGGAGTCCAAAATCACCAAAGGAAACGCGCCATGGCTTCGACTCTTGCTCTTTCTTCTCTCGATCATTTTCCAAAACTCTTCATCAACAACCCATGGAGTGCGTTGCTCGCGGTGTTAACATTCGACGACAAGAAGGCGATGTTCTCGGCGAACAACCGGGACGTGTATATTTAAAATACTTCTCCAGCTTCTGCCTCTCTCTTCTCTACAGCACCTCCGATTCTGGAGTTCCAAAACAAAGAGTAAAGACGAGCGATGGCTCCGGCTCTGCTCTCCCCCCTGGGTTATTATCCAAAACTCTGGGCCAACAACTTCATGGAGTGCGTTGCTCTCGTTCACTAAATCTTACGGCGGATCATAATTGCTCTTAGCGCAGGACTGGGAGGTGTATAAATACCCCTTGGGGTTCTTGTTCTAACCTTTTTTACGACAGCTCTAATTCTGGAGTCCCAAAATAGACCGAGGTCAGACTCATGGCTCCGGCTCTTCTCCTTCTGCCCGGGTTGTACCAAAACCGAATGAGTACAAGATCATTGAGTGCGCTGCCCGTGCGAGAGAGGGCTCATCTTGATTCAATTTCTTAATACTATGGTGATGATCATCATCACCGAACCTGTGGTGCTCCAACCTCATACCTTCAAAGCTTCCCTACTATCGTACACATGCAATCCAACCTCCCCTCCTCCTCCACCCATCCCACCCCTCCTACTTCCCCTGCGCCTTTGGCTTAACACTAAAAAAACTACTCATCTTCTTCATCCCACTCGTATCCACCTTCTTGAGAGCCTTAACCCCCCTCCCCTCACTCTTCTTCTTCCTCTCCTCATCCTCCTTCTTCCGCTTCTTCTCTTCCCTCTCGGCAATCTTCTCTTCGTCTTCTTCAATCGCGCGTTTACGACTGATGTTGTCTGATATACTGCGTAGAGACAGCGCTTCGGATTTAAGCGTTGCGATGGCGGTGAGGTGAGTGTCGAGGGGTGTGAAGCGTGGGGATAGGAGGGCGAGTAAGGGTGTGCGGAGGGAGGGGGGAGTGTAGGAGGAGAGGAGGTAGGTTAGGGATGTGCGGAGGCGGAGGAGGTGTGGGATTTCGGGGGGTGTTGTGAGGGTGGGTTTTGAGGGGGCGTCGTCGGGTGGTGTTATTGTTGTTGTGACGCTTGTTTGCGAGTCGACTGTTGTGCTGTTCTCCTTTTCTGAGTCACCGTCGGGGGTTGGTGTAATGGTGCTTAGTGTGCTTTCCTCACGCTTTATGCTCATGACGGGTATCTCCAGGGCTGTCTTGATGAATCTCTCCTCCATCGATGGCGGAAGCCCCTTCTTCACCATGCGCTCGGCCTTTGCGACAAAGACCTCGAGAAGCTTGGTGTGGGACAGGCGGTACATGGACTCTTCGCCTGCGTCGACTTTGTCGCATATCCTTCGCATCTTGGTTTCTATCATTGATTTTAGGGTAGGATATTGCGATAACAGCGCTTTCCAATGTGGTGAAGCGGATGAGAGTGTGTCGAGGTAGTCATCGAAGGCGAGGAAGTGTTGCTTCGTGTCTTTTGCTGACTTTGGTGTGAGGGCGGGGAGGATGAGGAAGAGGATGTCGATGGGTGTTGCGATGAAGAGATCGGCGGATTTGGTGATGTAGCCGCTGCCTACCCGTGAGGCGTCTGCTTCCTCGGTGGTGCCATCCTCGCTCTTCTCTCCTGTTATCAACCAACTCTTGAAGTCTTTCTTTGGCGCAGCGATGCGCGTGAACTCGTAGAACCCTTTCTGGGGGCAGAAGTAGTATCGTGATGGTGTATCATTTGCGGGGTTGTCGAGGCTGACTATGCGCGCGTCTTTGGATGTGTCTTTTGGTAATACGAACAGTTTCGGGGGGTTCGATGTGCTTGCGGGCAGCGGTTTGGCTGTGGTGGTAGGTTCGGGCGTGGATTCTTTAGTAGCGGCCTTTGCGGGTTTCGAGCGTGTGCGCGCCATTGCGAGGTGTCTGCTGGTCCAATTGGGCATATACAGTCTTGAATGTGGTGTATCGAGTTCGTGGTGGAATCGGAGTTCAAGCGCGTCGCGTGGGCGCAACCTTAGACGCGCAATCCCTGTCACGTCACGGTTTCGGATTAGATTAGTCTGGGGTGAACCACAGTCCGGTGTCAACAAACGCTACGGGACCGGGCTATGCGCTTGTGAGTCCTGCCTGACGATCGACTGTTTCCCATCTTGCTTTTCCCGCTTCCAGTATTGGCGTTGCTATGGGCCACTGCGAGATAGCGCATCCGATATTGCACCATCACAACAATGATTGTGCGGGAGAGCCCCAAGTCAAAAGGTAAGTCGCCCATACGAAGGTGCCATGCGTGCGCTGACTCTAGTGACAGTCAAGAACAACCAGCCCAACTGGCCCCCGCAGTCGCCCGTCGAAGCCCTTCTCAGCTCGCCATCCGGCCGTAAGAGGTACGAGAGCCGCCGCCAGCGCGACTCAGCATCGCCATCCCCCTCGAAACGCCGCCCAATGTCGCGCGGAGGTGTGCCAGCCGGCAGCGATGGAGAGGAGGATGAGGAGACACTCCAGCTGCAACTCCAGGCCATCGAGGCCAAGCTGAAGCTGAAGGCGCTGCAGAAGAAGAAGAACGAGTCCCAGGATCTGGATCGCAATGGAGCGTCATCACGAGCGAGCATGGCCACCGGCATGCGCAGAATCGACCTGCCGCGGCCCGAGACCAGGCAAGAGACCGACGTCGAGGTACCGCGATCACCAGTCCGGATGCGACAAGCGCCAACCGAGCCGAAGAGTCCTGCGCGCGTCATGCTGGGCATAGACAAGGGACTCACAGCCCGCGACGTTAGTCTCAAGCGGCCGGGAAGTGCTGTCAGCGGGCGCATGTCGCGGCTGGGCTCGTCGAAAGAGGTCGAGCCGCCCAAGATCAAGTCCTTCAGTGAGCGCATCGCAGAGAGCAGGAACAAGGAGAAGGAGCGTGAAGAGAAGGAGGACAAGGCTGAACAGAGACGGAGTAGGGGGTTTGGGCTGCAGAACATCGAAGCGCTGAAAGACCGGCCGTCGCTATCACGAACCAGCTCATCTCAGAGTACCGATACCAAGACTTCACGCGACATGCCTCCGCCGGCCCTGAGGAATCACAGCCGAACGCAAAGTCTACAGAACCGTACATTTGGGGGTCCGCCCACTCCAAGACCAGGCTCCACATTGTCTTTCAGGCCCGAAAGCTCACGCCCGACCTCGTCCTCTTCCAAGGCCACGTCTAGCAGCTTTGGCTCAACTCCGACAGCCACAAAATACGCCGAGATCTCGTCGCGCGACGAAAGCGCCGATGCTCCTAGTTTCGAATCGTTCTCTGGTCTCCACCTCAAGTCGAGGGAAATGCAACACAATGTAGTCACGCGCACGCTGGAAGGCAAGACGGTCTTGACAATACCTCAACTGCTGAAAACCGTCAAGGCGCCAGAATACGATCCGCCAGATTGGGAGAACGACTATGTTGTTCTTGGGGTTATCTGCTCCAAGTCGACACCGCAAAACTCCAAGAACGCAGCAAAGGACCAGACCAAGGGCAACCAGGACAAGAACTTGGACCAGAACGGCAAGTTTATGGTTATTCGTCTCACGGATCTCAAATGGGAGCTCGATCTCTTCCTGTTCGACACTGGCTTTTCGCAATTCTGGAAACTCCCTCTTGGTACACTAGTCGCCATACTCAACCCCGATATCATGCCACCACGGAACCGCGATACCGGCAAATTCTCGCTGAAGTTGTCAAGTTCTGACGACACCATCCTTGAACTTGGTACAGCGCGAGATCTAGACTTCTGCCATGCACAACGGAAAGACGGCAAGGAGTGTGGTCAGTGGATCGACGGTCGCAAGACCGAATTCTGCGAGTTCCACATCCAACTTCAGGTGGACAAGGCCAAGAAAGGCCGCATGCAAGTCAACACCATGACCGGGTTTGGCGGAGGTCCAGGCGGCGGCATGTTTGGCCGACGCGGTGGCCCGAAAGGTGATGAACTCAAGAGGGAAGGCAAGTATCACGACCGAGAACTCCACGAGACCGTCTACATTGCACCACGTCCCGGCGGCGCAGCCAAACTCATCGACCGCGACCACCAAAACTGGGAAGGCGGAGCAGGCCGAGAGGACCGCTTCCGCAAGCAACTAGCCGAAAAAGAGAAGGAAAGAGAACTAGCAAAGAAGCTCGGCACGATGGGAGATGGCAGTACCGGAGGCGACTACATGAAGCTCAAGGGTGCTGGTACCCAGAACCTCCCCGCAAGAGGCTACACATCGTCGCAAGGTTCCTCAGGCGCAAAGCCTGACAAGCCAGCCGACGTAGACTTTACCAGTCTACTTAACCGTACGTCAGCCGATGTTTCTTTGGCGCCTGTTAAACGTAAACGAACAGCATCGGCGAAATCATCCAACTCGAGCGACCCCGTCGGCTGGGGCTTCAAGTACGGCCGTATCCCATCACCGAAGAAGGATACTTCTTTCCCTTCTGCATTCCGCGGTACACGCGAAGCCAGTCCAGCGAAGAAGAAGGCGCGTCTCTTGCTAGCCGGAAAAGGCATCCGCGAGCCAGGCCGCGAGAGTCTCGGCGGTCTCGACGCTGGTCTTATTGCTGCCATGGACGACGACGACGATGACGATTTGGAAGTTGTTTAATTCTTTTGGAAAACACTAGGGGAGGCATACACAAAAAAACATGAAGGGGAGGGCGTTTGGGTCACAAAGCTCGCTGATTGGCTAGAGCTAAGCGAGCAACGGGGTGCATTTCGACTTTTCTGGGCTGATGGATACCGAAGGCTTTAGCGTGGAGCGAAGCCGCATTAACGACTTTCCTTTTGTTTTACTTGTACAATATTATACCCGCTTTGTTACGCTGAATTGTATACTGCGTTTACCTTACCAAGGTTCTGAGACTGTTCATCCGGAGAGAAGTGAGGTATTCCTAACTATACCAACGACGCACGTGCGACCACATCACCGAGGGAAAGAGCAGGACCACCACTTTCAGGAAACGAATTACAATAACATGGCGACGTCAGACCCCAAACCCTCAGAGAAGATCTACGCTCTCATCAACTACGAAGACCCCTACGTCCAACCCCTTATCATCGCCGCACTTGAGAAGCGCTTGCCAGAATCATCTTATGAGTTGATAACATCTCTATCCCAACTCCCCTCCCCCTCCTCCCGCCTCCTCCAATGGGTCCAATACGAATCCATCGACTTCGACCACCTCATTGAAAACTCCTCCAGTAGTCTCGCCAACGCCTACATAATTCGCAAAGCCCTAATCCGGAAACACTACCTCAGCACCACCATCGCCAATTGGATAACCAAATACCCCGATAGCGTACTTAAGAAACACGTCAAGCCGAGCGTGGAGTTTGAAGTCGACTACGCCGAGTTTCTGGATGATGCATTGGTTGAAGCGTGGGAGTTGAAGGAGAGTTGGGCGAGGAATGAGAGTCAAGAAGATGAGAAGAAGAAGGAATGGTGGATTTTGAAACCGGGGATGAGTGAGAGGGGGCAAGGGATTAGGTTGTTTAGCAGTGAGGAGGGGTTGACTGGGATTTTCGAGGAGTGGGATCCTGAGAGTGATGATGAGGACGAAGAAGAGGAGGAAGATGCGAGAAGTGATACCGGCGCCAACAGCAGTCTCAGCATTGGCGAGCAGGGGAAAGACGAGAAAGAGAAAGAAGAGGGAAACGGCATCATGACATCCCAACTCCGCCACTTCATCGCACAACCTTACATCCACCCCCCGTTACTCCTCTCTCCTCCCAACGCTCCCACTCCAGAACTGCGCAAATTCCACATCCGCACATATGTCCTCGCCACATCCGCTCTCCAAGTCTTCGTCTACCGACCCATGCTCGCCCTCTTCGCCGCACGCCCCTACGTCCCCCCTTGGTCCGACGTGTTACAAAACGACCGCGACGAAGCCATGCGCGCGCATCTGACAAACACGTGTTTACAGGAGAGTGGGGATAGGGAGGGCAGTGTGGGGTTATTTTGGTCTCTCCCCGACTCTTTACCTACACAACCCGACCTCGGATCTATCAAACTAGACGCAAAGCCGGATTGGAAAGACAAAGTATTCGAGCAGATCAAGGAAACGACAGCCGCGACATTCGAAGCTGCGGCGAGGGGGATGTCGATTCATTTCCAGCCGCTGCCTAACAGCTTTGAGATTTTCGGGCTGGATTTCATGGTAGGGGTAGAGGAGGATGGCGGACTGAACACGTATCTGCTGGAGGTGAATGCGTTTCCGGATTTCAGGCAGACGGGGAGCGAGTTGAGTGGGATGATTGAGGGGCTTTTTGAGGGTGTGGTGAATAGGGGGGTTGTGCCTTTCTTTGGGGTAAAGGGAGAGGGAGGGGACAGAGATGACGGGATGGTCAAGGTTTTGGATATTGATCTGGGACGGCGGTGAGGGAACATCATAGAGAGAGGGGTATTTACATTCACGTTCAGTCAAATAAGCACATTCAGAGTTATCACTCGTATTTTCCTTGATCTATACTACGTTCCCTTCCATGTCCTCCCATTACCATCGATTCAACCGCTAAGCACCGTATACCAGCTCGGTGTCTGTTCATCGAGACGCCCAGATACCAAGCAACCGCATACCGTGATCCCGCAGTCAAATCCGTATTCCCTACTTACTAACTAAGTTACTCTGGGCAACGCACATATGCGTGCTGTCCAGTAAATGTCCCAGAGAAAACACCGATTACAATGCCTTCTCGGCAAAGAAAGGTTCTCATCCCTCTTCAATGCCAAACAAACATTAAAGGCCGTCAGTAGTGCGAACCTTTTCGTAATGTAATCGTGGGTATCCTGATCCTGTTCCTCGACTCGCATAGGTCGAAGAACACAAAAAGCAAACGCTCGCTATGCAAACAATCAGTCACAAAGGACCTGATGCAAAAGGGGAGTTGGGAACGCTTGGTGATAGCATCTCAACACAAGCTACGAGGAAGACTTGTTCAAGACGAACGGGCTGAAGGCCGTTAGATGTTGTCAATTGACATGGATGAGGTAGAGTGCTCACTGCGAGCCCGCTTGTCTGCTGCCTCGCGCTCGAGCGGCTCACCGCTGCGCTTCTTGGATGTCTTGGTGGAGCTGCTGGAGCTGTGCGCTGACTTGACACGCGACCATGAATCAAACGAGATCTCTGCTACTGTATAAGCGGGGGATTCATTGGCGAAAATTGAAGAGACTTACCCTTCTTGAGCTTGCGGGTCGTAGGCGGCGGCGATGTGAGCAAGGATGGTGTTGGGACGGCGTTCTTGCCCTTCTTGCGGCTCGGGGTCGCGACGGACGCATCGATGTCGGTGGTCGCCTCCTCGTCGTCGGTCTCAACACCGTTTGCGCGGTTGCGCTCTTTGATCTCTGCTTGGAACAGAAGACGGGGTTTGATAGACGAACGAGTGAGCGGACGGCGGGCCTCATAACCAATCTGGCGGCGGACTTGCTTGTCATCGGCGGAGAGGTCGTCGTCTTCCTCTGCCGCTGAGGCGCCGGAGGGTGCGTCGTCGTGGAACTTGCGGAAGACCTTGCGACCTCGGAAGATGTATACCATTCCTTCGTCACGGTCGACAGCCGCCTCCATCTTGGCAGTCTTTCGGTCGACGACCTTCCTTGACTTTTGGGGAGCAGCCTTTGCCTTGCCCTTGCCCTTGACGGTGATGAATGGGTTATCTTCAGTCTGAGCACCAGGAGTGGGTACGCGCTCCTTGGAGTCAGTGTAGATGGGGATCTTTTCAGTGTTCTCGTCCATCTGCTGGGCGAAGCTCTCTAGAGTGTAGAGGTTCTTAGTCTTGCGGCCCTTGCGCGGGGTCGGCATGGCTTCGTCGATGGTTGAAGGTCGGTTGGCGGGGAACAACACGCGCGCGGTCGAGCTGACGTCTTCGATGCGACGCTTGCGCGGCGTCTTTGCGGGAGTTGGGAGCATGCCCTGTGGAGAAGTTAGCATGTTGGGTTGTAGTAGGTGTGGAGGCCGTCTGGCACTCGACGCGGTTGTTTGTCAACCGCACCGGGCCCAGGCGGTCACCTCAGGTAACATACAGGAGCCATGTTCGCAAACAAGGTGCGCCGGGACGAGCTTGGTGCAGCAGTGTCGGAGTCAGAGTCGAGCGGGTTGAGGTCCAAGGGCGCGCGACGGGTCGAGCGTGGAGAGCGGAGGTGTTGGTGTTGTGGGGATGCAGGCGACGATGGGGGTGAGAGTGCAAAGGAAGCGTTTGCGCGGGCAGCAGAACGCTTGGCGTGAGAAGAGGCCGTTGGCGTGATGTCGCGCCTGGTCCGTGGGCTTGACCGCTCCTGTTGGTGAGTGTGAGCGTCGTGCTGGGCGGCCACTCTGCGCGATCGGCGCGGTGAAAACGGCTCGTAGTTGTCTCCATACAGCGGCGCGGGCGGCGTGTGGACGCGGCGGGGCGGGGACGGCGTGCGCTCCATGTTGGGTGGGATGATGCGGGTGTTTGTTTGGGATAGGGCAGTTGTGGTGTTGTTGTAGCAATACAGGGCGAATTGTGGGTATCCAAAATCAAAACAATGCCACAGCAAGCTCGATGTCGCAGCGCTTCAACGTTGGGATGACAATGGAGGCAGTATCGATATGCGCGCAAGTGGAGATGGCGGTAGGGCTGGTGATGGTGAAGGTGAAGGACAAAGCCGGGTGGAGACAATGGGCTATGTCACGACGGGGAATGAAGTCGCGAGGTTGGGACGGCAGGTGCAGATGGCTGGTGCTCCTTCCTTGGCGCAACGCGGAACATCAACAAACCCCTGCTAACCGCTGGCCCCGCCAAACCAAATACGTCAAACAAGCCAACCTGTCAGTCGTTGAAACTCACCAAATCAATTCGTCTAGAAGAGTCCGACACAATACACAACACATTTACACAGCATGGACCCGCCGAACCTGGGCGCGCTTGACCTCTCCGACTCGGACACGGACGCGTTGTTTGACACGCCTGCGGCACGCAAGACCAAGAAGCAGACAAAAGATGCGGACAATGATGCAGCAAAGACACGGTCAAAGGAGTCGCATTACACGACAGAAGAGGCGCGCGAAGCAGCATTGCGCAGGGAGTTGGAGAGCATACGAAACGTCAACAAGGTCATCGAGGGCGTGGTAGAAAGCCTGCAGAAGGCCAAGGACAACATGGCTGTAAGGGACAATAGTAGAACTGCCGCAGTCTCTAGACTGACGATGAATAGACTGTATCACGCACCGTCCAGAATGCGTCTACCTTGCTCCAAACATGGACGCGCATACTTTCCCAAACAGAACATAACCAGCGTCTAATCTTGAACCCGCAATGGCAGGGTGCGTCGCAAGATTTGGTTGACATCGAGGAGGAAGAGGTACACCGCCAGCAGGCTGCACAACGTCGGGCGGCAGACGAGCAGGCGCGGAGAGAAGCTGCGGCTAGGAAGATAGAAGAGGATCGCAGAAAGGCTGAGGCGGCTCCCAGGGCAGGTACTCGAGGCAGAGGCAGGGGCGTCCGGCCACGCGGTGCTTCGACATCGTCCACAGGGAACTATACCGGCGTAGGCGGACAGACCGGACGTGGTATCAGTCGCAGCGACTCACGAGGTCGAGCAGGCAGCGGCATTGGACGAGGGCTTCCGCGGGGACGAGGTAGAGGCTTGGGTTGATGGGATTGCACATACGCCTTCGCCTCACCTCGAACGTATACATGAAATACCCAATCGACAGTTCCACCTGCGTCGTATACTTTGCAGTCTGGTGGTGTCGAGTGCTGAGGTCAGCATAATTTATCGCGCAATTTCGGAACGCCTCACTCAGTTTCTCTCATCTTACCATCGCCGGGCATCCATAGCTCATCTTACCACGGCGTTTTCCCCCCGAGCAACCGCGACACGAGACCTCAAATCCGTACCTGCAGCTCGATGCAGCTCACGGGCCGTTGGTGATGCGGATGCGCTTCTCAAAACGGGAAGGTCTGAGAACCCCACTTGTCGTCAGTTGGACCCCGCCGTACATTTACTTGAGATCTTGCGACGATCCGGGGATTAAATAGATTCTGCTTTTCCTGCCATTCAACCTGCTTTCTGTTTCTCCTTCTCTTGCTTTTTGCAATTTCGAACTTCTAGATCGCGCAATGGAGGTCCCGACAGCAACGTCGCTACGCGACATCTACCCCGAAGACGCGCTCCCAGTCGAGACAAAGCGATGGGATAGCCTACTCGCCAAGTTCAAGGACCTCTATGGCAAGCAAGCAGACTTTATCGCTAGGAGTCCTGGACGCGTCAACATCATCGGCGAGGTAAATTACCTGCCAGAAGTCTATTACCTGTCACTAATGATTGTAGCACATCGACTACTCCCTGTACGAGGTTCTGCCCATGGCCATTACCGCCGACTTCATCATGGCCGTAGCTGTGCGACCATCTGAAGAGAAGCCGCGAGTACGGATAGCCAACCTCAACTCAGAGAAATTCCCCACCCGCGAGTTCGACATTCCCGAGGGAGAGATCCCAATCGACGCGACCGAGCATGAGTGGACTAACTACTTCAAGTCTGGACTGAAGGGTGTATCACAACTACTACAAAAGAAGCGAGGAAAGTTCACATCCGTGGGTATGGATATTGTATGCGATGGCACAGTGCCGAGTGGTGGTGGCCTCTCGAGTTCAGCATCCGTTGTCTGCACAAGCTCTTTGGCTGTGCTGGCTGCGAATGGTGAGGAGAAAATTGACAAGACCGAACTTTGCGAGCTTGCTATTGTCTCCGAGCGCGCAGTCGGTGTCAACTCTGGAGGGTGAGTACAGTGAAGTACATGGAAGTATCACGGCTAACACGTCCTCAGCATGGACCAAGCAGCCTCCGTCTTCTCCCTCCGCGGCTCGGCCCTATACGTATCCTTCAAGCCCAGCCTAAACTACACAAACATCGAGTTTCCCAAGACCGACCCCGAACTCGTCTTCGTTACCGCTCAGAGCTTTGTCGCCGCCGACAAGCACGTTACAGCGCCCGTATGCTACAACCTGCGCGTCGTAGAATGCACACTAGCAGCCGTCTTCCTAGCCAAAGCATTCGGTCTAAAGAAAGAACTCCCAACGGACTCCTCCCCTCTCGGTGTCAGCCTCCGCGGCTTCCACGACACCTACTTCGAAGATAAAGAGAGCGTCTCCGACAACACAAAGATCTCCGTGTCAGATTTCGAAACGCAACTCACGAAGCTAATCCAACACACCAAAGACTACCTCCCCCAAGAAGACGGCTACACACGTGCGCAAATTAGCGGACTGCTGGGTATCTCAGAAGACGAATTGAACGAACGCTACATGTCCAAGTTCCCCGTGCGCGCCGAAAAGTTCATGCTCCGACAGCGCGCGCTACACGTCTTCACAGAAGCCCTCCGCGTGATCAAATTCCGATCGCTCCTCGCATCCCCCCCATCAAACGACCGCGCATACCTCCAGTCCCTCGGCGACCTCATGAACACGACACAAGACTCATGCCGCGAGATCTACGACTGCAGTTGTCCCGAGCTGGACGAGCTGTGCGATTTAGCTCGCGCGGCTGGAAGTTGTGGTAGCAGGCTTACGGGCGCGGGCTGGGGTGGATGCAGTGTGCATCTTGTGCCGAAAGATAAGGTTGAGGCGGTTAAGAAAGCGTGGGTGGAGAAGTATTATAAGAAGAGGTTTCCGGATATCAGCGAGGAGAAGTTGAAGGGGGCGATCGTGGTTAGTGAGCCGGGGAGTGGGTCGGTGTTGTACAAAGTGAAGGATGGGAAACTTGCTTAGATCGTGATGTATGAATGGCAGTGTGGGGTCTGCATGCGCTCATGGAGGTTCGGCGCCGCGACGTCTGACCAGGGTAGGCCGTTTGGTAGGTCATAGTCACGGCTTTGAATATATGACAATGCCATTGGTTTGTCTTGCACCACTCCATCATCACAGCTTCGTGGATGTGAAATATCTCACGCAGTCAATTCGATGATGCTTTTCTGTCAAAGTCTGGTTCATGTCACATGCGCAACTTTGGTTCTCTTCACAGATCCCATGGTTGCATGCGACGGGGGACCATGTTCGTCAAAGTCAATGGTGTGATAAAATCTGCAACACACACGACTATATTTCTACACTGTACCCCCTTGATACTCTACTTGCTGAAGACACTACACCCTTTCATACAGCACGACGCCCATCTTCACACCTGTATTCTCCCCACCCACATACTATCACCACAGATCTCCATCCATACACCAGGAGCGAAGATGACAAAGCGCAACCCCAACCGCCGCAGAAAGTCTCCACGCAAGCCTAGTCCCCAATCCAATGCACCCGAAATGCTGTACCAGGAAGCGGCCTATAACCAAGCGGGACACCAACAACACCGGCAACATAATGGCACGCTATATGCGAGCGAAATCATGCCAGCTTTCAGCGAAGATAGCATTCAACGACAGCTAGGGGGGTACATGGTACTACCACCAACGTTTGCACCTGCCCAAGCGAACATGTGGCAGCCGGGGTGTTGGTACCCGTATACGCATCCTACTACGGGAGAGGAAGCCGCGGAGTGGTATGATGCGCGGTATGTGGACGTTGAGGAAGACTACTCTTACGGCCGCAAGCACGAGAACGGGTGTGAACGGTTCTACCACCAGGGGGACTGCTATGTTCGCCATCACTGCTACGCCCACCATTACGACGATTCGTCGACTGAGGATGCTTCCATGCCGCCGTTGTATCAGTATGTGGAGGGGTATCATGATCCCATCTTGAAGGATCTAGCACCGGATTGGTGGAGGCTGTTTGGTCATGACGTACCGAAACAGTTCATCCTTTCATCAATATCAGTGGATGATCCAGACGCGGGCTCTGAGCCGGAAAGCAGAGGAGAGAGATGGGGAGTGGGATGCGGCGGCGTATTTTGGGCCGTATCGTGCTTCCGACACCGAGGCATGTCGCGGGTCTGAAAGAGCGTGTGGTGAAAATGAGGCAAAAGGAAAAGACAGAAGAGAAGAAGGCGAAGACTGTGTAAATAGTACCACAACACAGAAGCCTACTGAAGGCTCTAAGCGAGAATGCAGGGGAAGAGATGACTGGGAGTGTGACTTCTGCGGCCCGGAGTGCTTTTGCTGGACTGTCAAGGGAGAGGTGATGGAGACCTGCTGATGACATTCGGTTGCGTAGGCTGAGGCTGTACATAGAATGCGTGGTGTCTGAATACCGCCAGACATGCAGGAGCCAGCTTACTGCTTTGCCGAGGACGCAACCACGACTTTTTCGGTGCCCTGCCGATGTTAATCAGAACAGACTTCGTTACGAAATTCCGTTCTTGTGTTTCGGAAATCACAGCTAGCATTCTGGTGCAATGAAGGCGTCGGGGTGCATGTGATGGTGTTGTGTCGCTTGGGCGAAGCCACTCGTACGACTGTGAGGCGGATATCTCGCGTGCGGTCTTGTGCGGGATGGCTGATTCCACGTGGTTGTGCTCGCGGCATGCATGGCTCTAGACTTGCTGAAGTAATCCACATTTTGATGGAGTCATTGCGATTTGAAAAACTCATTGCGTTTGGTGGTGTGACAGGCGTGGCGCGTGGTCTGGCGATAGACATCCTGCAAGAGGCTGCGACGCGGTTCTAGCCGACGTTTGAAATCGAAAGTTTACGTTGCGCAATCTTTCGCCAGCCGGTACGATTTCCCTTTGCTTTTGCTATGAGCGTGGCATGGGAGCTGTTCGGGGTGGGGATTCTGGTGGCCCAGATAAGGAGACCCCTTTCCGCGTTCAGTCGATGTGAAGAAGCGAACCGTGATGGCGTTCTGAGCTGCACCGAAGTCCTCATAGATCTGGCTGCGTATCCGATTCAAGACAGCCTGATGTATAATGTGGCTGATGTTCCTCTCTTTTCAGCGGGATACTCATCAAATGAGAGAGATCGTAATCCTCAGACTCAGCGGGATTGGGCCGAAAAGCGCACGTCTCTCCAGAAGGCAGCTTGCGAGGGGGGCTGAGGAGGCCGCTTGAAGCGGCAAATAAGGGACTCGACGTGTAGTATAATGTGCCGTGGTAATCATCGATGCGATCAGATTTTGCTGTGTCGGCTTGCAGGTGGTCGGGATGGAGCGATGTGATATCGAGCAGGTGCCCTCAGGGCTGAAGTGGGGCCATCTCTGCGCAAGCGTCATCCGCTAGTCGCCTCCTTCCCAGGGTCAACTTCACGCCTCCTGCACCACCCTTTGGGAACGCCATCAATAATGAAGCTTCACCACACATCAAATGCCAATACGCATCTCACTGTCACAGTGCTTTGTCCAGACCGAGCCACCCTAACGCACATTTCCGCAGATCGCTGCACCCGCCGTTGCTGCACCCCGGATCGCGAAGGCTGCCGCGTGTCTTTGAACCATCTGCCGGCATATCGAAACATCAGCGGACTGGCTCCCAAATGGAATACAAGCTGCCCAGCATTCATATCACATAGCTGAGAGCTCCCGACCACAGACCGCGAACTATTGGCTAATCGACAGAACTTTAAATGTGTCTTGTCCGCTTCCGTCGTTATCTCTACATTCACCACCACGAGTACGAGTTTTCCAAACAGGCTCTCAACTATTGTATTGGAACGCTCCCTTGGAAATCATGGTCGATCAACTCCATCACTGCATGCTCGACAGCCGTT